GTCATGCTCTAACCGAGCAAAAAATATGATTTTTTTTGGGTGATTTCGCTATTGCTTTTACTTATGGTGCTTGGAAGATTTAGGAGACTAGGAATTTACGATCAGGAAAACCTCTTAGAAAGCCAAAATCATCTCTTGTGGAAGATCATTTTCTAAAACATTAACGTGATTTTAGTGTCACCAAGACTTGCTTTTCTAGCAGAAACTAAATTTTTAATTTTCTAAGCTTTGGCGGTTGGTGTTAGCGCTCCATAGGAAGGCGCTATATTGATTCAAAATCGAAGCACCAAGGAAGCGGCAGTGAAGCTGTTCAAGATCAACATCCTTAGATTTGTTGGAATAATACAAGCAAACATCAGAATCTTTATTTGTCGGAAAACACTTGTACATAGCAATTATTCCACAACAAAAAGGTGTTTGAAATTCAAATAAGTTGGGTAATATGCACGCGAAAATTATCTTCAACCACGTTTTCTCCTCCTAGCAGCATCTGGAAAAAAGAAACACTGTGTGATTGATCGAAAAACGTTTTTCCGTTGTTTTCATGAAACCTGCCAGCTTCTCAATGAGAATTTTCTCAAGTGGAGGTCGCCCAAGCACCATAATTATTGTGGAAAGCTTACCGATGCATTTAATGTTAATGGTCCATTCTGGTACTGGGCTTCGGTTTCGGCTACGCGCCTCCCTCTCGCTCCTTCCGCGCCAGCGGCACGTCTTCGTTTTGCCCATTTCGCGCCAATCTAAAAAGCATGTCTATTGTTAGGGAATTCTAGGACCGACGGAACATATCTAAAAACAAATTGACAAACTTACTGAATCTTGAAACACATCCGGGTACTCGGCTCGAAATTCTCGTAAACGCATCTCTTGCAAATATCTACGAGCCATTGCGCGTTCTCGCTCCCTCTTCTTCCGATTTTCCTGTTCCTCTGCAGTCTCGGCCGCGCGTTTCCTCCTCACTCGTTCCCTACAATCTTGTCTATGTATCATTTTTTGCTCTTCCGTCATACTTGCTCTTATGATTTTATTATGCATCCTAATTTTAGACAAGCGTTTCTTTCTCGCCTCTTCCGACTCATTCAGACGTCTCAGCGCAGCATGCTGTCTGCACTTGAACAGCCGTTCATACTTCTCCGCTTCAGTCTCTTTCAAACGGCGAATTCGCATTCTTATAGCTGACTCTGAACAACACTGTCTTCTTGCTCGATTTCTGCAGCGCTGCACTGCGATTTTCATTTCTTCTTCAGGTGTGAGCTTGGGTTTTACCTCTGGTTTTGTTTCATCATTAGATGTGGGCTCCAGCTTCAGTGCTGTTTTTCCTTCATCATCGGAGTCGGGCTCGATTTTTACTGTAGTTTTCCTTTCATCATCGGAAATGATCTCGAGTTTTACTGCAACTTTTCCTTCATCGTCGGATGTCGGCTCCAGCTTCACTGCAGCTTTTGCTTCATCATCGGAGTTGGGCTCGAGCTTTACTTCCACCATCTGCCAGCGTTCTTGAGCGAAAATGAGTCGAAAATGAGTCATGACTGGCATTCATGTGCCGATAGCCACCATAACTCATGTGGGAACAAGTACCTAAATAGGTGGTTGACTGTGTGATTATTATCACTCGCTGATGATTGGATCAGTCGTTGCTCATTTATCTCCATTTAATGCAAAATCATGCAGATGGTGTTGACAGCCGAGGAAAAAACCTAAGAGGTGGGAAAGGTAATGATACAGGGTGTCCCAAAGATGTAATGAACGTTTGATCGTCAATATGTTTCAAGAAGCTTTAACTACCGTTTTGTAGAGCTGACTTCAAATCAGATTTTTGATGTGAAGGTAAATTTCCCGTTCTCTCTTCATCACTGCAGGATGGTGGAAATTTTGAAGTTGCTTTCAAGCAATGGACTGCCATATTTTGCCCCAGAAAGAAGACAACCCGACCTGAAAACTTTCACGCTAGGCTAAGATTTGCTTATTCCAAATATGAATTTTGCATAGTATCACATTGTTTCGTTAAAAAGTTATGCCAAATAAGCAGTAGCAGCCGTTTTCTCGATGTTCCTAAAAAGCGCGCTTACACCGTTTGAAAAGCTTCGCAATCGTGTACAAAGTTGAGCATTAAACTCAGCGTACATTGAAATGTATTGCACCAGATTCCAGATTTCTTTTTTTTATTTGAAATTATTTGAAGGCAGCTTTTTCATAGTGATGCTATATGCCGGAAGCTCCTACCGTAATCATACAGTGAGAAGATTGGTGTCGCTGCATACTGCAAATTTAAATTGTAGCCAGCTCTACAAAATGGTACTTATTTTCGAAGCAAACGACCAAACGTTCATTACATCTTCCAATGTCAACCTTTATAAAAATGCGTTGCGGGGTTTGGCGCAGTACCTTATTCACTTAGAAACTGTTTTTCCGCTTGATCCAAGCTCTTCCCAGTGGCTACCGTATCATGGAACCTTCACCTTTGAAGTTACGGCGTCTCAAAACTATTGGTTTTTTTTGGTTCGCACTTCCAATCAACTTACACCAACAGTCTGAGTTCCTAATCCCAGGCTGCTGCGGTGTACTTATGGATATTATCGAACTGATTCAAGTTCTATGTCATGAATTGTTGTGTTAATCAACTGATGTATTCACATTGTTGGAAACGAAGAAATTTATTATCAAGTAATTACAACTGCACTATCAAAAAGAAAATCCTTCAGCTCAAAACTATGCATAAGAATGCTCCCGCATTATGGCTGGTAATGCAGTTTGTCCCGTTTTCGTCCAACGATCAACAGTGTTGCGGAGACGGACACTAGAAAAAAAGATGAGTTCGACCCTGCGTGTTATTTTATTTAAAAAAATTTACCCGCTGAAACAGTGATGAGCACTAGAGGTATCAAAGGCAG